CTCTGCCAGCTTGTGTCACAGTTTGCTGGGATCAACGGAGCGATCACAGCTGTTTGCAGCTACTGGTGATATTTAATTTTTAACACGAGCTGCTTATGAAACCCACCTGTAGTCGTGTACCTGCTGTGGTGTGTCGTCTGGGCCACCAACCTTCAACACTGGGTAATGCGCCCCCTGGTGGTTTGTACTGAGGGTGAGAGAACCTCTCTCTCCATGAACCGTGACCCCTCAGCGGCTCACGTCGTCATTGCTGATCGGACCTTCGTGGCCAACTCTAACAGTTCATCTGATTTATCTTACTGGAAGCAGCGGTCACAGGCAGCGTGCACAACTGTTTATGTGTAACCATAACGTGTTATTATTACTAAACAGTGCACAGAAGAACAATGAGCTCCTGTGCTCCTTCAGTGGGGCTCCTTCAGGGTCAGGAGTGAGTCTGAGGTTTGATGTGTGTCCTGGCAGCGGTGAGGCAGATACATGATTTCGTACACACATGCACAAAGAGTGTGCCTGCACCCACTAAGTGTTGGCTAAACACAAAAACATTATTCTTCTAATAAGGTAGCCTGGCTGAGGAAGTCCAGCAGCTTCCTTCACTGGGAGTTTAGTTTCCACCGCTGTGTCTTTTTCTGAAACTCACCGTCTGCTCGGCTGTTTGACGTCAGCTTGGAGGGGCTGAACCTGGACCAGACCAGAGCATCGAACAAGGGGAGGCGGGGTTTATTCTGCGTTGTCAATTTAGACAGACGGGAAGCTGCAAACATCCATCGCTGACTTGTGTGAATGAGGGACGACTGAAGCAGGCTGACCAACACATGCTCACACACATTTATTACCAACTTGTTTTTATTTGTTGGCGTGCTGAGGTTTGAGAGCTGCTCGCACTCCGTCAGATTTACACATGCGCAGCTGCAGATTCGCTGAGCGAGTCGTAACAGGCTGTCATCATGTTAGGCTAACGGTGCTAAACGAGCAGCTAAATTCCTGCTGAAGCAGGTGAGTCCCCGAGCCTGTGAGCAGCTGTATTTAGTCCAGTCACCCAGTCCGGCCCCGGGGATGCTGGAGCCTGCTGTCACAGAGTCGACGCAGTCACACCTCATTGTGTTTGTGTAGTTGTGTTTCTTTTGATTTGGTTTCAGGGACACAAAAGGAAAAGCTACAGTTCAACACACACTAACAGATATATCGGAATAATAAACGTATAAATCCATAAAGCACAAAAGAAAATGATTAATGATTAATGCTGACAATCCATTTGTTCACATCATGACAGAAGAGCTGAAGTCTGCACATTTGGAAGCACAGCCCCCCCTTGTGGTGGAGCAGCATTATTTCTGATCTTGTGCACCAACCATATGTTTGATTATCAGAATTTAACATCTAGAACAGGACAGTGATGATGTTGATGTGCTTTTCTCTGCAGAACCTACGAGTTTGTTTGTGATGTTTGGCTTTGATTCGCTCGTGTTTGTGACCCGCAGGGCGCGCAGACAGAATCGCTGGATTTAAGTGTCTCGGCT